AAGGTCTTTGCTGGGGAATTGGCACCCGCTGAAGGCAAATAAATTGATGAGCCAAAATATATTTCTGGAGGAGGACAAGGGTGCTTTGCTCCTTTTTTGGTTAACTCCTACCTGTTTGTGGGATCAGCCCCACAAATGCCCTCAACTACATCAGTCCCTATGTCCTACCTGCATAAGAAAGCCCTGCAAATTTCAGTGATTATTACAGTTAAAACTACTGCAAGGAATCATGCTCAGCGGTACAGACAAGTTAATGATGCTTTGTATCTACAAGTGCCTCAGGCTGAGTCTTGTGTTAAATCATAGGCTCCTGTTCCAGGTACTACTGTCAGTAAATTTGTTGAGTGTTTCTGAAAGAAGTTCATTGAATAGAAATGTATAATCCAGGATGGTGCTGCAGAAACCAATAGGAGCCTCTTTGTGGCTTCATGATCTTAGATTTATAGTGAAGGGTTTCTCTAGCTGCTGCACTGTCACACAGGTAAATGGCTGGGGAGATACTACTTCCACTTGTGCTTCTGAATTGCAGCTTTTTAGCCATTTAAGTGGAGTTTTTGTCACTTAGAGGTGGGTAATGATTCCATTTCCCCCACATAGCCTACTACACACACTGAGTCTATACACTGGCTGGATAGCCATAGTACATGGCCATGCATGGGTGCTTCTTCTGGATATGCACCTATTTGTAACATTCAAATACCTTGGGCCCTAAGGCCTACCCAGCTAACTAGTAGCCCCTATTGTATGGGGGCTAATGGGTGAATGCTACAACAAAATACTTGGGACAACAAAAGCCAAAAACAGGAGTGATGTGAGGGTCAAAGGATCAAAACGTGAAAACGGGTGTGCCTGAGGGGGATATTGAGCAGAGCCTCCCGGGCCGCATCCACCAGTCCTCAAAGGTATCCAAGGAGCCAGTGGACGCTGCCCACTGGTGCTCTGCCTGCAAATGTGCGTAGACACGTGAGAGAAAAGCGGCCCTGCAATCTCTGGGTACCTTCCTGGCCAGAGCCTCCTTCCAGGTCAAGTACAGGACCCACTTGGCCAGGGTCAGGAGGTTGACCAGGAGGTCCCAGGACTTGGTGGGGCTGCAGATGGAATGACCAAAAACAAAAAGGTGGGGGGGTGAAATTCAACCAGAACCTCAAGAGGAGGTTCTGAAGGTGGAGGGGCTGCAGCCTGGCACACTCAAGGGTCATGTATGCCAGGGTCTCCCTCTGCCCACAGAAGGGGCAGGAGACCTGGATATGTACCTGCAGGTAAGTCCCCAAATGTAGCTGACCAGGCACCCATGACTAACCAGCATTAGACTTGAAAAGAGTATCATCCCATGTTTTAGCTCCAGTGGTTGAAGGGTTAGAGCAGTTGCTCAGGAAGCTGGAGGCCAGCATTTTAGGCACCCCTTGCCTACAAGGTTTGAACTTTTATCTTTCTGACTTTTCCATTACAGTACTTTAAACCACTATGCCAGATCCTGGCTTGAAGGGTTGGGCAGAGCCCACTCCCAGTATGTGGGGTCCAGGCAGGGGCTGAATGAGGCCCTAGGGTCCCATCCTGGCACATGGAATCCAACCTGGCCTGCAGACCAGCCCGGCACCATTCACCTGACCCACAAGGCCAAAAGGTGCCACTTATCTAGACTCTTTCAAGAGCTGGCCACCTGAGCAGCCAAGGGTGGGAGGTACATAGGGCCAGCAGGACAAGAACAAATATGAGGGAGGGTGTGTGGCTCTGCAAGATGGATGCTGCTTGGATGGGAGCAGTCCCTAGGTTCTAGCATAGAGCCTTGCTGCCACTGGGGTAGGAACTTCCCACCTGCACTGTCCAGTCACTTTATCCAATGACTGGTAAATGCAAGATGTAGTGGAGCCACTTCAAAAGGAGCACAGGAGGAAGTGGTTAAAACACAGGGCTGGAAAATCATAGAGGTGCAAGTTCAATCCCCTTTGGGGTAAGGAGGGCCTAGAACTTAGCTCCGTGGATGTCATAAACATTTAGCTACTTGGGCTAAAATATAGGACGGCCCGAGTCCTTGTTTTTGGGCTTGTATGCACACACATGTACATAGAACATGTATGCTCATTCTCCACATACAGCTTATGCATCTGCAGCATGGAGGCTGGGCCAAAATGCCCAAATATGTGGCTAGGAAACTGTAATTTAGATGCACAAAGTGAAACAGAATTTCACCCTGTGTGTTCAAACCTGCAGTCACAGGGCTGAGAGTATCCCTGAAAGATGCAACACTTCTGACTCTATTGGTACTGCAAAATGGTCTGGAAAATACAGACCATTTGGGAGATATAGTTAGTCTGAAGTCAGTAGAAGGCAGGGCAGATTTCCTATATATACTGCCTTCTACTGACTTCAGACTAACTACATTTCCCAAATACAGTGGCAATCCAAAGCAGCAGTTGGAGGCTACAGCGAAGGCGACTGCAGCTGGAGACCAGCTGAAGTTTCAGAAACCTATCACAGAGGGAGCAACGGACACTGGATGACCAGGAAAGGGTACAGTAGGCAAAGGGCAGAATGGTTGAAGTGAGAAAGGCGAAGGCATGGGTTTCAAACAGACTTACCAACATGACCTAAATTTGAGCCACCAAACTGTTGCTGTCCTGTGGAGAAAGGGGTGACACAGACATGTTTTTAAATGCTCTTGAATAAACTTGTTGCCTGTGAACATTTCCCGTGCTTTTTACAGACAGGGAAAGGCCATGGAGGCCTTCACTAGAGCAGTGTTGCTCAACCTGTGGGTCATGACCCAAAAGTCAGTCATAAGAATATATGAAAGGGACATGAATGAACTTTAGCAATGGATTCTCCTTTAAAGGAGAAAAACATGGGAAACTGCAGTGTTTCCCTTGCAGGCTGGCAGAGTTTCATCCTGCAAGGGGAAGCTAGGCCCCCCTCACCCCACTCCCTTCCCCTGGCCCTCACAATGGGGGAGCTAGGGCCTGTGGACAGAGGGTCGGGAGTCAAGGGCACTGGGTTGGGACTGGCCATTGGTTTACAAATGGGCCCTGGTACAAAAAAGGTTGAGAACCACTGCATTAGAGGACTGAGAAGGATTGTGGCAGCTATGGACACTTGCTGACCTTATTTATAGAAGCCTGAATGGGGGTGGAGTTGCTATAGGAAGATGTGTCAGCTGCTTCAGAGAACAACTGTGTGTTACGTGATAAGTTAGATGCAGGGCTGGGTGATTAAAAGAACAGAAAGTTTAAAAATCATAAGCAGTTTACACAGGCAGGTTAGGTGCCTTGCTTCCAACTCCCCAGACTGAAGGGGCAGGAGACTAGGTGTGGCTTTTCCCCTTCAACCTGTTCATTACAGATGGCTCTGTCTGGAATACAACTTCTATAGGAAAGACCAAGTGGAAGGAAACTGAAGCACAAGGGAAAGGTCTTGTATGTCAGAACTCAACTAGAAAAACTGAAGCTGTTTGGAGTTCTTCCAAATTAAAGATAGCCATAGAGGCTAGGAAAATTCCCACATAGTGGCAAAGCAACTGCTTAGGGAAATGAAAAATAAACAAAATTTCCTTAGTTTAGGGCATCAGGTTGGCCACTCAAGATGTAATCTGAATTTGGGGGAGACGGGTCAGAAGCACACTTTTCTTCTCTTGAGCTGGTGGGGAAATAGAAGAGTGAGCTTAGGCGGAGGCGTGGGATTTGATTTGACTTCTCCTGCATAAGGAAACTACTTCTTGCACGGTAGCACTGACAATTTCAACAGGAATTAGGTGCCTAATTTTTCAGTGCTTTAAGGTAGTTTTATACATTCCTGCAACGTGAACATGTCTGAAATGGTTTAAACACATATGCTTCTGCCTTGAGCAGAGGGCAGGACTGGATGACATCCTGAGCTCCCCTCCAGCCCTGCTTTTTTACAGTTCTAGGCAGAAGTTTTGCGAGTGTCTGTGCTACCTTGCTTGGCAGTCAGACGTGGAAGAATTTTGATGTACAGAGAAGGAAGGATGCCACACTGTCCTGATTTTAGGTGGGCTGAAGCAACGATTTAGGACCTTGCCCCAGAGAGGTGAAGTGGCAGATAAACACACTATACATCTATAATTCCACTGAGCCTTTGCCCGTGTATCTCCCGACAACAGAGGAAAGTTAGTGACAGTTAACCAGTGTTGTCCCTCACTTCTCCTCTTGGAAGGGTGGGAAACATAGCTACCCTTTCCTTCACACAAGCCCATGGAGCTTTTCCAGTTTCCTCTTACTAAAGTGACATTAATACTTCATTTAGACACTCCTACTAGTGATAATGTATGAAGCAGAAGAAAAAAATTAAACTTTCAGTTTCTAGGGCAGTGGTTCTCAACCTTTTTACACTCAAAGCAAACCTTGTTAGACTCAAAACCCCCTTTAGAAAATTTTAGCTCTTAGATTTCACAAGTTTCTTGACTCCAGAAAAATAATAGAGCAATTTTTCTGTTGCAAAAAACTCAGAAAGACCACAACAGGTCAGAATGTTCTTGACATTATGGGTTTATCTTGTGAATTACATGTAGGTGCTTGCACACCTAATATCCCTGCCACACCTTGGTTGAGAATCGTTGTCCTAGGGGGAGTTTCCAGGACAATGGCTAGGGAAAAAAATAACTTACTTAGAAACATGGTCTGGAAGTCCATGAGAGATCAAATATGACAATGCTAATACTGTGGATAAAACTCACCTTCCAGAGCTGAATTACAGTTTAACAAAATGCCTGATGAGTTAAGACCTACAGTGTGGACATTACCAGCTAAGAGGAAGGCATATCCCCTAATTACTTACCATTAACAGCAGCACTCAAATATTCTTGGACTTCTCTTATCTAAATACTGACCAGCCCTCCTCAGCCTCACTTCTAAACTGTAACTGCATAAGATCTCAAGTCCTTAATCAGTTCACCTCTTCCTACCCCGACAAAAAAACTAAGTATGCTGTCTGTTGTATACATCTTTGTAAAACTGATGTGGTCATAACCATATTTAGAAAAATCCATAAAAGTATTTAAACTTTAATTAAATCCATTAAATTACAAGAGCTTTGGTAATCTCATATATATAATTTTGGCAGTTATTTACAAAAGTGATGGTTGTAGATAAGTACCAAAGAGAATGTTCAAGTTCAGATCATCAAACTTGATATTCTACAACAATCTCATTTACTGTTTTTCCTCTGCAGAGTCTGCTTGAGTTAGGTTAGAAAACAATTGGAGCTCTTACTCCTATGTATATTTAATACAGTACATTTCTTCCCCAGTTGTTGTGGAGAAGAGGACCCAAGACATTGCTTTTGTGCTTCTCTTTACTCAATTACCACATGGCTACTTAAAAAACAGCAACCTTGTGGGACAGATGTAAGAGTGACAGCAGCATGGAATCTAAAGTGTTAACAGTACAAACCAGTGTATTTCCTATTTTATCCATGTTTGTAGAGAAGGGTTAAAAATGCAAAACCCTTTGCAGGAGTGTGTGTCTTTACTCATTCTTTTCCCCCACACATCTAACAATTTCAACACCTGAAAGTTTATAGCTCTGTTTTAGGAAGACTTCTGAAATCAATGCATATATATAGTACACAAAATAACCAGTCTGCTTATAATACTGTCTGAGGACAGTGGCACAAAATCAGAAAGGCAGTAATCCAATGATATGCACAGAAATGCAGCAGCTTTGTGGCTTGCACTTCATTTGTTCACTTGACATTTTTTCTTCTTGAGGATTCATGTCAACCCTAAAGCAGTCTCAAGAATAAGGTGGTTCACTGAGACAAGTAAAGTAGTCTTCAGTCTTGAAAAGGGCTGGAGGTTCATACAGGGTCTGAGGTTGCCGTGAGGAAGACGATTTCTGTAATTTAGGCAAAACATTTTATTTCTACCCTTTTTATGAATTACACCTCTTACAGAGCTAACTGTACTGCAAACCTGTCACCACACACACCCCAACAGGTTTGATACCTGGGTCATTCACCAGATCATGGTGTGGAATTATTTAGTTCACTAACTCTTAGACCTGGACCTCAGAGTATCAATCATGACTACCTGTTGAATTAGGATTCTCCAAAAGTTTCTCTTCTTGGATTCATGACAGCAGTCGATCAAACAGGTGCAAAAAAGTTTCATTATAAAACACATGGGGCCAATGCTAAGAACAAGAACAACTTGTCTTGCATGTATACTTTGTTACCAGAGATTAATCTTTCTAGCTGTAGTTCAGGCATGTCTGGCTTCTTCCCTGGCTGGGTTGGGGAGAACAGGCTACACTGCCTGTAGCATGTTCCCTCTGGTCTGAGTTAGGCTTCCTAACCTGTCTCAGCCTATTAGTTCCCAACCTATTAGTGACTGCATCTAAGCAGCCTCTCTTGAATTTACCCCAACCCCTCCTTTTTCTGCAGTCAAGCCTTTCTAAATATTTAGAATATTCTTTGAAGTTAGGCTCATGTTAAAGCAGAAAACATGCTAGCTAAACTTCAGCCAATCAAAAAAAATCCCCACTGATGGCTCAATCGTTCTTTCCTCTGATGCTGTCATACCTCAGTCACTATTTTAACTTTGCTGCTCACTTTAATAACCTCTTTACAACTTCCTTTTATTTACCTTTGCACTTAACTTAGGTAACTGAATAGGCAGCCATGTATAAACATAAAAATACAAATGTGTTCCCCATTCATGCAGGCTAAAGTTGAATCAAGCACTAAACCTTGCCTGTATTCACTTTCACAAATGACACAACTTCTCTCTCAAACTGCAAAATTTATAGGAAGAAAAAATTCCATTGTATATTTATTATATCTACCTTCAGTGCATATGGAAACCTAAAACACTTGCATATGTTACTGGCTAACATGAGAACTACCCTTAATTAACAAAGGCACCAAAGTAAAACAAGCAGGTGGAAGGAAGAATTTTCTCATTTTATATTCCAAAAACAATACTTCTTTCACTGAACTTCTTGATCAAGTGCATGGGATATTTTAAAGTACAATTCCAAAGCACATAATAATTAAAGCAAAAATAGAATTGCTATTCCAGTTGGACTATATCATCTAAAGGTAGCCTATGAACTTCTTTGGAAAATGCAACTGGACAGTGCTGTACCGAATGGCTTACATATTAAGAAATATGAGGAGACTGTTTAGTTTCCCCTTAGTTTCTGGATACATACACAGATCTGAAGGCCTGAAAAATGGCATGTCACTGCAAAAAAAAAAAATTAGTGAACACCCATGCAGTAAGGTTTTTCAAATATTTAACTTGTTGTAAACCAAATTTTTCAGATAGATCAAAGCTGTTTTCTCCAAGGATGAAGCTCAAGATAAGTGTAATGCCCTCTGTGTACTTGGATTTAAAAACCTCCATTTTTTAATATGGAAAAAAACCCCACTTCACTTGTCAAATTATTGTAAACCTAAACTTTTAGTTAACTTTTGAAAAAACAATTCACAGGTGGGCCAAGAGCTTAAGTAATTTTATTTTAAATGTTTAAATCGATTGGCTAAAATATGGAGATTCATTTCCTCAAACACAAATGAAAATATGTTTCCTGTTATTACACTCAGGTTCACTACAATGCTACAACTATCAAGAGAGCAAAACCAAGGACTGCCACAAAATTAACTTTCTACCAGATTAAATGCTATTTTCCTTTGAAAGAAACAAGGCAACTTTAGGATGTCATGTAAAAATAACATCCTTACCTTTAAATGGTTTGGGAAATGTGACTTTTTTTCCCCTTCTCTTTATTCCTCTGAGGCCCTTAGATTGGAGGCAGCACTTTGCAAGATCATTTTTTAGTCTGTGCAGGCTCTTCCTACCTGCTTTGCATTTTGCTGGAAGTTAGTGATATTTTAATGAAGGTTTGCACTTTTGGTGCTTGGTTTGCAGGGTGTTCATATGGAGGCATGAAAAGGAAGTTCTCTAAGAGCATGAACTCAACAAAAAATATGATTTTACTCCTCTGCTCTAAAATTTTGCTTAGACAGAAAGCCAAGCTTGAAGCTTCCACTTCAAAGTCAGATCTAAGCAACAGCACCCAAGTCTGCCATTCCAGGTAAGTAGTTTAAACCACTCTGGGTACATCTACACAAGACGCTATGGCACTATAGCAATATGCTACAGCGCCGCAGTGTCCCTTAGCAAAAACCGTGATGCTGCTGGTATGTCACTGCAGCCTCGTTATAGCACGTTGCTGCAGCGACATTATGGTCAAAAATAACTGCATGGCTGGCATGACACAGTACGGGCTGTTATTGTGTCATCTTTTAGTACTTCCAAAAGGAAGTACTAAATGAGGTGCAGTAACAAAGGCGCTGTGTATCAGCCATGTGTAGACGCACCCACTTACAGCCAGAGAGGAATACTTACATTAAGAAATGACGGGACACTGATTGTGTGCAAGATTTTTTTAAAGGTGTTTGGAAAGGTGCCCAGATCTGTTTCTGCCTTTGCGACTCGTTCTTCCATTCCAGCCACATTATTTCCAACCATTTTTACAAAGGCCTAAGTTGGGTAAAACAAAACAAAACGAAACAAAAAGGAAATATCTATATTAACAACATGTAAAAACATTTTCCAGGTAGAATCCTGAAAAAGTTCATGTTATGTGGAAACTGGGATAGGATTCAATTTCTCGACAATTATAGGAAGGAGAGGACAAAAATCCTCGCTGCCACTTTTGCAGATTTCAGAAATACATGGGCTTAGAGTCATCTGTTGCTTAATGGTTTAACATGTACCAGGAAACTGAGGCTTAACGTGTGCTTCCAATGTAACAATAAAACAGACAGTTTGAATCATTCTGTCTCTTTGTATCTTATACTGGTAAAATCACTATAGCGACACTGAAAAAAAAGACATTTGAAACCACATTTATTACATTGAGAACTGTCACTGTAGTAGCTGACACGCTGCATTTACTTGCATACCACACCTTTCCCCCAAAAAATCAGCCTTCCAAAGCTGGGGTGCATGCCTTAACTAGAGAAGCTGATTTTTCTTTGCTGGAATGGAAGCATGGAGAAACAGTGCTGAAAGATGGCTGCCAGGTTTACTCAAGGCAGCAAGCAACCTGATCTGCCAAAAACTGTTGACCATTTGAGAACAGTTGTGAAAGGGTTAACAGTAGACTTTCCCTCTCCTGCTTGCTGTCCCAGAAACAAGCTGACAGCCATTTTGAAGCACTGCCTTTCCATGACAAAGCCAGCAGTAGGCCATGACTGAAAAATATTTTTTTTCTATGTTCTGCTTTCCAAAAACTAAGGTATGTGTCTCATTTGGGGATGCCAGAAATATGGGTTCTGCAAATGTCCAAGATTTGGCTTACAGAGCCTTTCCTAAAGTAAACCTCTCACTTAATAACTGAGGTACATGCTTCCCATTGCAACTGAAAAGGAGTTTATCTAGTATACTTGAATACATGTACAGCTGTATTTTTCTACCACATCTACCAATTTATGGCAATTGGGATCAGCAATCTTTCCTGTTCTGTGGAATAGTTCATCCAACTTTCAAGACATCTATCTCCTACACTAACCTTTTTCCTTTGTAGCTCCCCTTGTTAGTGAGGAGAATACTTTTTGAAATTCAATGATAAGATGATGATCAAGCACATTTTCCATTTTCTCCTGTTTCATTCCAATTTCTCTCTTATTTGCAGTCAGAAGAGGATCAGTGTCAAGGATGACATTAAGCTAGCAGAAAATAGGTCCCTTACCATTTTTGCAATACTGCTGATAAGCACTGCTGCTCCATATCATTTATCCTTCCATTTAGCTAAAAAATGTCAACAACGTTCTCTCATGTTTCCCTGTCCCTTTGTTCTATAATATGCAATGCACCATTATTTGCCTATTCACATGTACCATATCATCCAAATGTCAAACAACTTTAGTTACTCCTTACCCATTCCAATTTTGAATTACTTGTTTAGGTTGTAAAACAGCTTACTGAATTAGTCCATTTCTCCCCCTGCAATCTCTATTACCCTTTTCTTCTACTCTTCTCGTGCTCTTCCATGCTGATAGTATGAGAAGCTTCTAATCCACAACTCTGTCTGCATGGAAGTTTATCTGCATCTCTATTTGAAATTCATTTAATACCTTAGCCATCCATATATTTCCTTCTCGCGCATAGGCAGTATTTCCAAAACCTGGTGTTATATACAATCCTCAGTAAAAATGCTTTTGTGACTGCCAATTAACTAAATTAACCAAGCATAATAAAAGTAACCCTTGATAAGGTAAAAATGTAGGAGAAAGTGTAGAAGTGATACATTAAAAAACTGTTATGGGTTGAGGTAAATGAAACATTTTTCTGTTCCTACACATTTTTCTACTTGCTGTTGGCAGTCAGTTAACAGCTCCCCGCTTTCCTATCCTAAAAAAAGAAAAAAAAGAAAACCCTGTATTTGAACATAGGGATGCTAAGAAACTAGAACAAAACTGGTACTTTTTTTTGTTTGGTTTCAGGTCTGTATGCACTTCCTGCAGTTCTGACATTTAGTGTAAAGCAACAGTAAAATACTAGCGACTGGTATACATACATATTGCTGGATTCTTAAAAACTATATATATATTAAAGACTATATACATATTAATATTATATTCTTAAAAACTATATACATATTAGCAAACACCTAGTGCTCTGACTGACACAAGGCACACCCTAAGAAACTAGAAAGACAGTGAAATAAGATGTTCAGTACTTTGGTAAGAGTCACTGCAGGAAACTTTTTGAAGCTTAAAAAGGAAGTTTGGAATTCTAAAGGGAAAAAACCCAATTAAAATCCTATTGCCGGTGTCCCTTGAAGAACAGGACTGTAAGCATCAGAGGCAGCAAATATAATTACCTCTAGTTTGTCAATCTTCCTATAGATCTGTCTCATTTCTGTTGCTTTCATATGAATCTGAGGTACGCTTTCATGAACAACTTGGGAGGAATCGTTGCGAATCTAAAGAAAATTCAAAACAAAAATTCAAATTCAAAATTGTGATGTCAAGTGAATGCTATGACTAAACCCGTGGATAACTTTAGAATATTCCAATACTAAAATCAATGAAATCTAGTAAAGCCACTAGAACTTGACAGCTGTAAACACACCGGTGCTATTCATTACAGGTGCATACAAACGTAGGCTGGATTTACATTTTAAGCGTTTCAAATGGAACAGAGGAACAAGGAGGAGAACTAGAAGGCAGAACTTCATATTCAAAGATGACAAAGGACTTAACAAAAGTTGAGATGATGGTTATTTTATAGACTGGACAAACCGAGGCACCAAGGGTGTCAACTGATGTCACCTTGCTTCTGAGAGAGAGTCTGTTGTCCCAGGGCTGTACAGTGTGTTTAAGTATCTGCGGCATATGCGAGCTAAAATGTCATTTGGCCCACTGGGCTCCTCCTGGATTGGGAAATTTGGCATCTGGGAAGGGGTGGCAATTAGGGTGTCTATACTTGTGCTTTAGGGTGGGGGGGGGGTGTGCTTTAATTAGAGCAGTTCTGAGAGCTGCTCTAATTGATGTGCCCGCAGCGTCACGCACACTCAGGATCCTGTGCTTCAAAAGAGCAGTGGGGGCTTGTTCACTTTAGTTCAAATGCCCCCGCTGCCATCTTGAAACATGGGGACGCTGAATACATGTGACACGGAGGCTGCTGGAGCATGCTAATAAGCATGTGCCAGCAGACTAGACTGAGTCTGCTCCAATGCCTGCTGACTAGCATGCACCAGAGCAGAGCTCCATCACACACATAAGTGCCCTTAATGTGGCCACCCTCCCCCACTGCCAAACTCCCAAACCTCAAGGCCGTTCCTGCACAGCAGTGTGTGTGTGTGGGGGGGGGGGTTATACCCCCTTCCTTCATATTCAAATCAGGGTTGACTTGGACCTGAGTAAATGTGGTGCTTTTGTTTGCTGCCTAGAAGAGTGTCCGGGCAGGGGAGCCCCGTGTGGACTCTCCGTTTCCAAGGGCCGATGAGATGAAGCTGGCAGGGCAGTGCCCAGGGAAGGAGCCTGTCTGCAGCCAGGCTGAACTAGGAGCTCCTGGGGCCCTTCCAGTCCCGCTCCTCCCTGACCAGTGTAGCTGGGTGCGCTCAGGCCACATCCCCTCCCCACACAGGGTCAGGCTGAGCGCCCCCCAGCACCTACCATGTCCAACATCCCCACAAACTCGTCCACCCGCGTCAGCAAGTCTTCCAGGCTCTTGTCCAGAAGTTCCACCTGCAGGGACAGAAATGGGTTAACCTAGCACTGGCGGTGACGTCACTCCCCCCTCAATGGTTGCCCGGGCTCAGGCCCCCACCCCCGGTTCTGCTCTCTATGACGTCGCCCGCAGCCCCCAAAAAGCCAGATCCCTTAACCCCTCCGTGCCCGACTCACAGGCCTCCGGCCGGGTCGAAGCGC